TAAAAAATGCCACTCTATTACATTTACAAGAAACAAACATATTTACCACCATATAATATGACTCTAAGCTATTATTTGACTCGCATATTAACTATATTGTGAAAAAGCCAAAAAAGCTCTTGGATTTCTGATCAGGACTTATCACGACTTCCGTAATACTAACTCTCTTCGTACACTTTACATGGCTTATGTAAATAGCCAGCTCAGTTCTGCTTCAGTTATTTGGAAACCCTTGTATATGTGGAATATTGAAAGATTTGAATGTATACAAAGGAAATTCGTCACCTATATCAATAGAAAATTCTTTCATAATCTCAAATTAAACTACAACTCAATCTGATATGTTTGGCGGATAGACGCCAAATAGCTGATATTGAGTTCCTATATAAAATAATGAATAATTTTTTTTGGCAGCAGTTCTTTATTGGACCAACTTTTGATTAATGTACCTCTGTATAATACCAGAGGATTATATTCTTTCCTAACAAACATCAAAGTAAAACTAATTAGGTACTATTTGAATTCTCCCCCAAATAGGTGTTGTAAATCCTACAACTCTATATCCAAATCAATTGAAATTGACATCTTTTCCAATTTCTTTGCAACCTTNGACAAACACTGCGATGATATCTTCAACGAAAATCATTTTTGTTGACGCTTATTTTACCGTCAATGTTACTTTTTCTTTACAGCAATTGTTTGCATAATTTCTGTACGTAATTTGTTCAGTTTACAAGGTCCGAAGTGAAACTATTCATCGTTAATCGCATTTAGCAATAGCTGCGACCTTTCGCGGACGCCTAACAATGACTGACTACGAAATAATACGTGCTCGTTTTTGTTTCTTCTTGTCCTTAACGCGGGAAAAAGTGGAGTTTTCATTTGATTCGTGATTATTCACTCACTGTAATCATGGAAAGTGAAATTATTCATTTGGTGTACAGCGTGACTAGCATGATTTTTCATTTAGTTTGACCAGGTACTTTATTGAAAATGCTACTTATCTGATATGACAAATGGAGAACTTGAAACAACAATTTTCAGTGAACGAATTTAGAAGAAATATGAATTCAAGTACTGCATGGGCTGAATAGTCTCGGGCCTAACACGTAGATGGCGTTAGTCTTATTACATTCAGTGCTTTTTCAGTTTATACCAGAATATATCCATGAATCTTTTATACAGGGTGTCATATGACTTGGGCCACCCCCATCTTTGAATTTTTAAATACGGACCTGTATTTTTTGTAGTAGATATGTTGTAGATATATTTCAAATAATCATAAAAGGTTATCTTATTCGAAGTTCATTGTAGAAAACGCTCATAGCAATGGAAAAATATGAATAGGTACCTATAAATGAAAAAAAAACTCTACGATATATAGGGAGACGTGAAAGTTGCTATTATGTTTTTATTCAACTCAGTCAACCATTTTCCAGGGCGTAATTTAAAAGGGAATAATTCACACAATTATAATCGAATATTACCGAAACATCTCGAAATATAAAATTTAATTTAATTTCTCAGTAAATTCCTTTTGAAGATTTCAGTTTCATCATTGACTTATAATAAGAATAATAATAATAATGCATTCATTTTTAAGATGTACAGAGTACATATATAAACAGTCACAATAATACCTTATTATGAATTAGGAATAATTAGGTACACAAAACAACGATTATATGTTATTGTCAATTGAAAACAGTTTTGAGGCACACCTAAACCCTATTGACTTCAATGGTCTCATTTCAATAGGTATTTTTTTATAAATTTTCAAGCCCAAGTGGTAATAAGACTTGACACAAATATCAAACTTAAAAAAATGAACTTGCCCTTCAATAGATCTTTGCCCGAATAATTTTCTTACTCATCTTTTTAATATTGATTTTGAAACCAAATGTTAGCTTTCATTTTCCAAACACAGCAAAAACCCAAAAGTGATTGTTATTCTTAGATCTTTTTTATAATCATCAAATAGTTCAATACCCTTCGTTCGCATAAAGCTGGAGAATTATCAGTAATCAAAATGTACCGTTCCGTGGTCGATGTCTTCCGGTTCTCTGGCTGAACCCAGAACCTACAACAAACATTACCATTGTTGATTCGTCTCAAAACTGAATGTGGGTCACAAACTGCTTTGTCGTAAACTCGACATTCGTCTGTGGATTCCGGCCAAAAAAGTAGTGATGATTAGTAGCGCCGTTTCGCATGAGTATAGTTCGCCTTCATCGAAAATTATGATCGGGGTGTCATACGATTTGTAATTTCACAAAGAGTAATTTACGATTTGAGCTAGGTTGTGTTAATAAATAGTTTGAAATTTGTAAACAATTCTGTTGAATAAGGAAAGATGTGTTTCTTTTTGAAACATACGAGGTATGTTTACTGAAGGATGAGGACTTAAATATTGTAGTTACAAATTTTCACAATATTCCCTATACAGTTCTGGAGTACTATGTTCCACTAAAAAAATATAAAGCTTCTACTTTCCTAGTATGGTTCAACTCTGAGCTGAAAAAATTATTTTTCAGGGAGAAATTGGTTCACAGAGANTTTAAATAAATTGGTGCGTATGGTTTTGTCGTAATCGATACTTCATTTGAAATTGCACTACAATGATAAAGATGGAAACAGATAAATTTGAAGATTCGACCACCAATAACAATAGCCAGGTGAGTGAAATTTTGTATTTTATTGCTTCATAGAGTTGTTAAATTCTAGGAATATAAACGTAAACCTATGAGCCATTTTGAGATTTTGTGGCAATCACATAAATTACAATTTACGTGGGCTTCCTTAGATCGAGCTTGTCTTTGTCATCTGTCATAATCCTTTGCTTAGAGTGCCCTACATTTCCCTTCAAGATTATTTGCTTTAGAAAATTTAATCCAACAATGCAAATCATTTCCGACGTAGTCGGGAAATATAAACACCTCAGTTAGGTTTTATGGCAATGTGACTTGAAGAAAACTTCAGAGTGCAACGGTTTTGCTATGTCGATGACGACCATCTATTACAATTTACTTGAATGCCCTTTAATGAAAAACACGTCAAGTTACATCAAAATATGCTGGTAGTATAGAATTTAAACATTCATCAAACGTGCTTAGTTGAAAGCAAACTTTTCAGCATTTAGAAATGTTGATATTATTACGAGCTGACGTCTTCAGAGTAAACAGTTTCCTTCAAGTTCTTGTACCCAGCAGATGTTATGTATACCTAAATTGTATTTAATTTCCATAAGTGTAGTAGTGGCTTTCTTTGTTTAACCTAATGATATTCTCTTATATATATTTTTCTTGGAACTGAACTGGATAGACTGGCTGTTGACCTTTTGGCGATCATTACAAAGTGAGCTTTTATGCTCTTACACAGTAAACAGCCAATTCACCGTATTTCTTATTGAGTTTGCTCTTTTTAATAAATCCATACCAATATCTTAGTTTATTGAGCATAAATAAGACGCTTTTTTCGCTGGATAGGTACCTAATTGAACTTTGCAGTGATTGCCTGCGAAAAATTTGAGCATATTTATCTAAGTATATAGGTTCAAAAACTCCCCAAAATATGTTTTTGAATAGGTTAATACATTATTGAGAAGAATAACAAGAGATGTGCTCGTTTCACCCCTTTTTAAGTATATGTCACCCAGAATACAATGGTAAAAATTTGAAATCCATAGCATTTACCATTATCAAGATAAGTATCCATTAAACTGGGCGTTTTTGAGAGCTAATGTGACGTCACGAGATATCTGCGATTGTCGATACAGCATCTGAAGCACGTCTGGTTAAATTCAAATGATTAAAAGCGTGAGATTATCAAAATTTCCATGTTTTGCAACAAAGAAAAATAAATGTGAAGTGATATATTCGAGTGTATTGGTATGTTTAGTTGATGAAGTTTTGTCCATTCTGGACAAAACAATTTGGTTGGTACTATACCGTTTCATCACTGACCGTTTCATCCTTTATACTTCCACAACTTCGACACATGCATACAAATAACAAAAAAATAGTAACTTTCACACTTTTAACATAGAAACTTCCGAAATCAATGGCAATTCCTAGCCACGTTGCGTATATCTGATGACGTCACGCCCCCTTTTTTGAACCGTTTCCTTAAAATTTTTTTCTGAAGCATCGAATTTTCTCGAAGATGAGAAAATTCACACTTTTCGCTGCTGACACGTCCGTTTTGAGGCATTGAAGAAATGAGGGTCAACTAAAAACGATCAAAGCCTCAAGCATTGAAGAAATGAGGGTCAACTAAAAGCGATCAAAGCCCCAGAAATAAATGACTCATATATATGGACACCGTCCGTGGGTTTCTTCAATATTGGGCACAGGAAAAGTCGCAGGGGGGCAAATCTGGTAAATACGGTGGCTGAGGCCAACAAATTACGAACAAGTAATGACGTGACGCAAAAGCCATGAATTGTTTTTCCATAATACCGGACGTTTTCTTCGTATTGCTTCTTTCAAACGGCGCGTAACTTCAAGATAATACTCCGTACAATGATGTGAGAAAAACTCCACGGTAATTGAAGAAAACAATGGCTGTCCTGGGCTCTTTCATTGGGATGATTGGACATCGGTTGTGATGTGCTAGAGCGTCCAGAGTGAGCGTCGTCATTCACATTTTCTCGACCTTCTTTGAAAAACTTGTACCACTTCCTAACATTTTTCTAAGTACAATCACCGTATGCCACTGTCAATATTTCGAATGAATTCCGTTTTGTACAAATTCTTTGATTTTTTTTTCGACAGCACAAAATCGCCGAACACCCAAAATACTTGTAACTTTTATGCTTCTCACCAACAAACTAAACAGCTTAAACTGTGATGTATTTATATTTCTAAGAAATTATTTTATAGAGATCCGTAGTTATTGATATTTTTTTGAAACTGAAAAAAGAAATAAAACTTTATATTTGCTTGAAAGGAAAGAAGGAAGTTTTGTTACGAGGAAGTGAGTTTCTTGTAATAAAATCCATGTTTCTCAAACATTTTATTTTTTTCAGATGTAATAGGTGGAGCGCTTTTGGGTTCGACAATAGCTTATATAATCCACTATTTATATGCCGTAATAGATACAGAAACGCAAGACAAGTATCTGAATATGGTTGAACGATACAGTTACATTTCCTTGAATCTGTCATAAAAATAAATAAATTAATCTTCTGAGACTACTTTGAATTCCATTTCCATTAATCCCTTTATACCTCCATTTATAACGTCTTCGTTTCGGACTGGCCCCATTCCAGGAGGAGATCCAGTCAGAATCAAATCGTTTGGTTCCAAAGTGATGAATTGGGATATATAACTTATCAAAAAGGGTATATCGAAGACCAAATCAACGGTGCAAGCATTTTGCCGTAGAATTTTATTCACTGTACACCAAATGGTTATATTATGTGGATCAGGTATTTGAGATTTTGGGATGAATTTACTGACGGGAGTTGCGGTATCAAAGCCTTTGCCTAGGGTCCAGGATCCCCCAGTGCTCCTAGCTTCTTTCTGAAAAAATAACCAAACATTTAGTGAAAATATGGAATTTTTTACAATGTACCATTATATTTAAGAGTTACTATATATTAACTACATATAGGCCAGTATTAACATATGGATGTGAATCTTGGATATTAACAAAAAAAATCAAAAGTAGAATACAAGCAACAGAAATGAAATACCTGAGGAGAATTATAGGAGTGACAAGGAGAGATAAGATAAGAAATACACGAATAAGAAGCCAAACAGTAACCTCCTACATAATTCAATGCTTCATCTTCATTAACTCCTTTGGCTTTCAGACCAATTATAACACCTAGTTCTACTTCTTCATTCACAGAGAATCCTTTGGGAATCTAAAACATGTTATACATGAGTATTTACAAAACAAATCAAAACAAATATTGGAAAACAATCTATTCTACAGGATGAACTGAATATTTACAGTTCATTACCAAAAAAAACCTTCGAACTCAACCTCAATGAATATTACTGAAGTTTTTTCACAACACCAAACCGTTATTTCAACACCTCGACACGTGTTTCGATCACTAAGTGATCATCTTCAAGAGGAAGATTAAACTGATCACTTGGTAATTGAAACACGTGTCGAGGTGTTAAAAATAACGATTTGGTGTTGGGATTAAACTCCAGTAATATTCAGTTATGAGTTGATTGAGTTCAATTGTGATTGAAACACGTGTCGAAGTGTTGAAAATAACGATTGGTGTTGGGATATTAGAACTATAGTACTATTCATTATTACATCAAAGACTCCAAACTATGCATCACAAGTCAACAATTGTTCAAAAATTATCTAAAATAGTCTATATTCACAGCTGAAAATATCAGATTTTGCATTTTTTTTTCTTCTACTGGAGTCCTCAATTTTTTTTTCACTTTGATGTAATTTGTTTACTGTTGGTAACAGATGACTACTTAGAAATAATAAAGTTATCATATTGTTATCAAAACATAATTTCTCAAATACATTTTCTCGTTAGGTTCAAAAGAAAATTTATATTTTTTTTATACAAAAACCGTACGAGTATCGAAAAAATCGTATGGAAACCGCTGACAATGAACACTCACCAAACGAAGTAATCAACCTTGTCATAAAGCTGAATTTATTTTGTGAAATTGAATAGCCTCACTTTACACCTACCTACATACTATTTTTCACAAAAATATTCAAACATCCCTAAAGACGTTAATCTATATGGTCTGGCATTATGGCGGATCAGGCCCGCCCAAATGAATTCCGGGCCCCTAAGAAGAAGAAGAACTTTATTTCCAGATGTGCAAGCCTAATATAAACATAATTAATGTACTTTTTGAACTGCAAATTCATTTTATTCGTCTGGCCTTACCCTCTTCCATGAATATTTTTTTTCTGAAACTCAGAGTTCCTGCATGGAAATAGTGAGATTCAATTGAAATATTTTTTTTGTCTCAACAAACATTGCATGCCTATAATATGTGCCATAACTATAAACTAATAGTAAAAGTAAATACAAATTGGTATTTTCTTTCAAGTGAAAGTGAAATAACAATGTTGTTATTTGAGTGTAGCAAGAATAAAGAGTTAAGTGTATATTTTGTGCAAAATGTTGAAATATTCAAATACTGTAATGTGAAAGATAAATATTACTTTATTTGACAAATGGCCTAGAGCAAAAATTTTTTTTTAAAATGTAAAAGGTGGAATGAAATCTGATCTTCGTGATCACAGCAGAGGGGAGGCAGTTATATCATTTTCGTGAAGTGGAAGATCAAATGGAAACTGGTCCATATTTTCAGATTTATATAGTTACTAAAGTGACCCTAAACGATCAATCTGCTTGATCAAACGATTGAGTCAATCGATTGACGCGCGCTTCAATCAACTGCAATCAGCCCTACAATCTTTTGATCAAAACCTTCTCACCAGAAATGGGACCAGTGCACACTTGTTATTCGTTCGCTGGTGGTTCATTTTGGTGAGCAATGGTTTCATACGCGGATTTGGCCTTCCTCTCCCTCACATTGGTTGCCCTCAAGCGGAAAAAACAACAGAAAAAGAAACGACGGTGGTCGAAGGAGTGGTACATGGTAATGATACAGTTTTCTTGTTTCTTTTGTAATAGTCCTTGCTCTTCACTTTCCATAATTCCCGCTCAGAGTTTTCGGGAAGCTCGCTTTCCGTAGCGGAAGCCATGGTTTCTACCTAATGACTGATGCAATGCTTGACAAAAATTGCCTTAGACGGTCAACCCCCTCCTTCAACCGCTTGAGTCATTCAAAATTTCTATTAATCACCATCAAGCCTCGCTTCAAGCGTCAAACAGGTTCCTACACGGTTAACCCCGCTTGAGTCGATAGATTGATTCAAGCTTCAGATTAAAATGATTGACCGTTTAGGGCCTCCTTAAGTAATTGAGCTGATCAATAAACAACTTGATGACTTTTAGAATTAGCTGAATGAGAGTGTCAATAACAAAAAAAAGCGAATAATTTCAATTAAAAAAAACAGTAATCTTCTGAGATGTGAACACTTTGATTTTCGTTTTTTTATCAGAAAAATGGAATAAAATATGTCAACTACTTCCACACAGATCAATTTGAATAATTATTAGCAAAGAGAGGTTGGGTATTTATACTAACAGTATAAACACACTTGAAAAAACCCATGTTACGTTTTTGTAAAACTGTTTCGTGAAAATCTGTCAATAAAGTGTTTATTGTCTTCTCATCAAATTATTATAGTTGCATCAACGATTTAGACTCATAAAATCACTGACATATATGCTATGTGCAGTTTTGAGCTTTGCCTAAGCAAGGTTTCATGTAGGTTTGTTTCTCAGGAAATTAATTTAGATTCGACTAGAGGGCGGCCAATTCTCATCTCATATAAAAAATTAATAATATAAAACTCCAATTTCAATCAGAAAAAAGAAGAACACAATAAACACCAAAACACCATAAACACAAAACAATGATTTTGTGTTTATGGTGAGGTGTTAATTTGGTTATAAAACTACACTAAATCCAGTTATTAAACAACACACAAACTCTCTTCACTTATAATTCGCTGCTACTCCTATTATTTTCTTTCCGTTCGCGACAAATAAACCAAAATCCTTCATTATCTTTCAGTTACAAAAATTCGCACATAGTTTAACTACCACAGAAACATTACGTAAGTTTCAGGTACATTCAAAAAACCCGCCATACCGCCAGTGGAAATCAATGCTAACAAACATTTACATTTAGTTCCTTTTACGGTTTGAAGTAAACCCTAAAAAGCGATTCAGGAATGAGAATACTATCATTTCCGGTGATTGTTGTCATTTCGCACATACTTCAAGTTTGCTTTATACAGTCTACAGTGAAGTTTTAACTTTGTTAAAGGAATTCAAAACAACAAGGGACATTTTTAGTTCTTTTGTTGTTGTGTGGGTGGTAAAACATCAATCAAGGCTTTTGGCAGTTTCACGATGACTTTTCTTGCATGCCACACTTCGGAGAAGGAAGTGTGTTGTGTTTGTCGTGGGTTGATGTTCTGAAATTGTTATAAATTAATAAATTTACTAATACTTGATCCGTTATAACAATGTGGTAGTGTATATATTAAGTAAAGTAACTTTTAAATAAATTGGTGCGTATGGTTTTGTCGTAATCGATACTTCATTTGAAATTGCACTACAATGATAAAGATGGAAACAGATAAATTTGAAGATTCGACCACCAATAACAATAGCCAGGTGAGTGAAATTTTGTATTTTATTGCTTCATAGAGTTGTTAAATTCTAGGAATATAAACGTAAACCTATGAGCCATTTTGAGATTTTGTGGCAATCACATAAATTACAATTTACGTGGGCTTCCTTAGATCGAGCTTGTCTTTGTCATCTGTCATAATCCTTTGCTTAGAGTGCCCTACATTTCCCTTCAAGATTATTTGCTTTAGAAAATTTAATCCAACAATGCAAATCATTTCCGACGTAGTCGGGNATTCGAGGAACAGTTATAGCTTCTAGTATAATGCCATATAACTTAGTACAGGTATAATATCATTATCAATGATGAAGGACGACCAGAAGTAATTCTACAGGTAGGTATAACTACTACCTTCAAAATTAATCTACAGTAATCTTTACCTTACCATGGGTATTTCCAGTAGCGGCCTTAACTATTGGAAGGCCCCCTACAGTAGATCTTTATGCCGCCCTTTGTCTTTTACGAAAAGTATATATAATACTGAAAAACAGGTATTTCTGGTGAGTTATAAGAAAAATGAATTAAAGATAAATCAATTTGGAACTATAAAATGTTATATAAGGATGTTAATGACAAATAAAAAACATAAAGACGGCACAAATGGCTTAAAATACCTAGGCAGGGAGTTAAAAATGACATTGGTAGGTTATTTTGAGTCTTAAATCTCGGATGGAAATATTATAATTAGGATTCACTACTATAGTTTACAAAAACGTGACACGTAATTTGTTACACAATAGTTTCCTCAAGCAAAACAGTGTCGCGATTTTGTCCAGCTATAATTGTGAAAAATCACAAAGTATATTATATTATACTCTGTTTTCTAATATTGAAGAGTAATAAATGCTCATTATGAATGCAAAACGCTAAACAAAATTTTGTGATTTCGTGATGATTTGCCACAGCTAGTATAGGCGGGTTTATGATACTTTACCGGGTCCACCCTATTTTTGTATGGAAAACGGGTCGTTTTATTACCTGCAGTGGCGTGCGTTTGGGTATTTTATTAAAAATACTTACTTGTCAAAACTAATAACTATGTTCATTTATGCATTTCATTATCCAAATAGGAGAATGAAAAATCGTGAAAATCGGTCCAGCCGTTCTTGAGTGATAAATGGTTTAGCTGTCGCGATTTTGTTGTATCATGTTGGAATTGGCCGCGGTGGTAGTGCGCCCGACTCACGATCGGAAGACCGTGAGTTCGATTCTCGCCTCGACCAGATATTTTTCTCGCCAGAATTTATCTGTTTGAAGCTGGAATGATTCTGCAACCGTGTTAAGAATTACACGTTAAAAGGTAAGACCTCGCACAAGTTTCTTGACTTCGGAGAGTTGTCGTTCGTATGGGAGCGACAGCTGATTAACGGAAAAACATATTTTAAACAGATTTATTATTTCATTCGTGACCGTGAAGTCCTTGTTCGTCTAGGAATTGTCATTCAATTCCGTTGAAGCTACCACTGCTCAAAAGGGTATCGTGTTCATCGAACTTTGAGTTATTTATAAGTGTATTGATTATCTTGTGGAGGAAAACGCTTTCTGAAAGCGAACATTGACTGTAGGAAAACTACTGATTCCTTCAGTTGACATTTTT